AAAATATATCTAAGAACTTAAAACTCAATTATGATTTCTGTAGTTTTTTGGTGATGTTTCATTACGTTTGTTTTTCCATTTTTGGGGGAAGGTGTTGTTTTTCTTAAATGTTATTAGATGTACATATCGGCCAAAGATGTAGGAGTGAGTGTCCCGATATGTCCAGAAGTACTAGTGTCTTCGAATAGGTGTGGGTCAATACTGACAGTCAGTATTGAAACATGTTGTGTAAATGTTCCGAAATGTAAATCGATCAATCGATACGGAACATGAATGATATTTTATTATCTTAATTATAAGAAATTTTAAATATTGTGATCAGACGGATTAAAATAAATAATTGTTTATGTAAAGTAGTCTATATTGAACCAAAATAAACATTTCTTCTAAAACGTCAAATATTCACCGAATCAAACACCTTACTAAAAAAAATTGTAGAATTTTAAGGGAAGTGTCATGAAATTTTCGCACTAACAACCACAATTTACTATTCTTATTATGAGCTGTTTCAGCTCAGTCAGACTGACAACAGACAGCTTTGATGACCGGGGCTCAACACCGGGTAGGGGTGTTCGATTTTTCTCTTCCACCACTAAGTCACCTCCTGTCCAATGGAGATGACTGTCTTCTGGGATGTTGCACCGTATAGTCAGGCAGAAGTCTACCAGACTACATGGAGCAACATCCCAGCCTCTCCTATGTCTACCAGCCACTGGAGCATGAATATGAGGCTGGCCGACCACTCACCTCGATCTGTCGTTGAGGACGCTAGCTTTTTCTTCGCGTCCTTCTAAGCGGTGTGTTCATGCTCGGGAGCAATTAATTGCTTTTATTAGAATGCAGATTTCTCAAATCCCATAGTAGGTACCAAAAAAACACAAAAGTAGACAAATCTTCACCTCTGAAATGTAAACGTCTACCAGACTACTCGGCGCAACATCCCAGAAGACATCTTTATTCTCTAGTCCTTGTTAGCTTCTGCACGAGAAGCTTTAAGAACTTGATTTCTTATGTTGGAAATATCCACATGCGTCACGGACTTGTTGCATAACCTATGAAGCACGCAAAGAAAAATGTAAAACACTCCACAGTATATCATCCTCCGGTTGCATGTACCTGATAGCGATATCAGATGTTCACCCGATTTTCTCAATAAGTGTTGGCCCATATGCCATAAAACATAGGCGCGGTACTTTTGCCCGTAGCATTTTTTGATGTGGTGAAATATAAAAAACAGTGATTTCCATTTCTGTGCAGTGATCTATTCAGTATTAGCTTTGTACATGCAAAAAAATGGACATCAGAAGCGATGAGATATGCAAAGTCGCAATGAACGCATTTGGAAAATAAATGCAAATTTCAGCACGGAATACGCCTTCCACTCGTTAATAACATATTTCTTAGCAGTGCCTACCGTATTTCGAAAATAAATAAAAAGTAGACCCATGGATCTGATGGAATATGCAAGTTTTGGAATATGTAGCATATGTATTTACTCCTTTAATTTACTGTATATTCAGAAGGATATTAAAGTCCAACAGGGCCCGCCCCAGGTTCATTTTAACATCTAAACAGTTGACATCATGTCCGAATTAATTGTTAGGAATATTAATTTACGGCTTATATGGTATGTAAATAAAGTCTCTTCAGCAGTGCGAATGTTTGATAATTATTTAACAGTGTCTGAACTGAATATATTTTGTAGCAAGTCTTCAACCTTCGAGTATAAAATAATTGCCCACTGCTGTCCTACGATTAGAGATAAAACTATGAACTTACGCTACTCATCTGGCAGCAAAAGCATACCAAATCGGTTTAGAGATTTAGATTCGCTTCGGTAGGTTCCTGGTTCGAATTCCGAGGCTGGCTAACCAAATAGGGCTAAACATGTTTTTGTCAGTTCCTCTAACAAACGGTGTCATCGAACTGCTTCTTTTTCATATCGCACAATCGATCACCGGCCACAGCTTCAAAAGGCTCATATAAAATTTCAGAAATAAAGTAGACCTACGTAAAAAAACTTTTTGTATAGAAAGTCGTTTAATAAAATTTCAAATAATAATTGGGGCAATGGGGATTAAAGTGAAAAATGAAAGTCGTACAGAAAATAAAATGGTATAAAATTACGGCATGACGAATCAGAAGTTTTAAGAACAGAAAATATCAGGACTGAAACGTGTTTCCTGATATCAGTAGCAGGAGTCACACTCGGGGATCAAACGTATTGTGAAGACAATAAGAATAAATTACGTGTGTATAACATAGACACAGAATTTCGGACTGCAGAAATGGACCTAAATGGTGGGAACTTGTTGGGGGGGGGGGGGGGGGG